TAATTAAAGGAGAATGTTCCAAGTTTAATACTGGTTCTAAATAGCATAGATTTACAGAATAATATTCTAAAGTTAGTGGTCAATAGGTCATCATTATCATCATCATCATTACAGCCCTTCACAAGTCCACTGCTGAACATAGGCCTCCCCCAAAGAATGCCACAAAGCACGGTCCTGAGCCACCTGCATCCATCGACTTCCTGCATATCTTACCAGGTCGTCACTCCATCTAGTGGGGGGACGCCCTACACTTCGCCTGCCGGTACGAGGCTGCCACTCGAGAACCTTTCTTCCCCATCGGTTGTCGGTTCTTCGAGCTATATGGCCGGCCCATTGCCACTTCAGCTTATTAATCCGTTGGGCTATGTCGGTCACTCTAGTTCTACTGCGGATATCCTCATTTCTGAGTTTATCACGCAGAGAAACTCCGAGCATAGCCCTCTCCATAGCTCGCTGAGCGACCTTGAGCTTCCTCATCCGGCCAGCAGTGAAGGACCACGTCTCAGTTCCGTATGTCATCACTGGCAACACGCACTGGGTGTACAGTCTCGTTTTCAAGTTTTGAGGTATACCTGACGGGAAGATGTGCCGTAATTTCCCGAACGCTGCCCAACCGAGTTGAATTCGTCGATTGACCTCTCGGTCTAAGTTGGACTTACCTAGTCGGACTATTTGTCCCAGGTAAACATACTCGTCAACAACTTCGAGCTTAGTGTTCCCAACAACTACCGGCATAGGTGTGACATGGACATTAAACATGATCTTTGTTTTGTCCATGTTCATCTTAAGACCTATCCGTTGGGAAACACTATTGAGGTCATTGAGCATAGTGCTTAGGTCCTCCAGCGATTCTGCCATAAGGACTATATCGTCGGCAAATCGAAGGTGAGTGATGTACTCGCCATTGATGTTGATACCGTATCCTTTCCAGTCCAGAAGCTTGAAAACATCTTCCAATGCAGCGGTAAAGAGTATCGGGGATATGACGTCACCCTGTCTTACACCTCTCTGCAATTGGATAGGTTTCGTACTCTGGTTCTGTACTCGGATAGCCATCGTAGCCCTACTGTACAAGCACTTCAATACTTCGATATACCGACAGTCAACTTGGCATCGCTGAAGGGACTGCAGCACCGCCCAAATTTCGACGGAATCAAAGGCTTTCTCATAGTCCACATACGCCAGACATAAGTGGCAAATTGTACTCCTCGGACTTCTGTACAATTTGCCGAAGGGTATGTATGTGGTCTATGGTGCTAAAGCCTTTTCGGAAACCGGCTTGTTCGGGAGGCTGGAAGTCGTCAAGTCTGCGCGCGAGACGATTCGTAATGACTCTCGAAAACAGCACGTAGACGCGGCTCAGAAGGGAAATCGGTCTGTAGTTCTTCAAGAGAGTGTTGTCGCCTTTCTTGAAGAACAAGACCACCGCACTTCTGCTCCACGCCTCCGGTGTAATGCCACCATGGAGGACGGAATTAAAGAGCTTCTGAAGGACTTCAAGTACCGGTTTTCCACCCGCTTTCAGAAGCTCCGCTGTAATTCCATCCTCGCCTGGGGCCTTGCCGTTTTTAAGGTGCTGGAGAGCCATTCTAATCTCGCTCAGACTGACGTCCGGGATATCATCGGAATAATGTCGGATAAGACTCGCTCTTGGATCGTTACTCACACTTGCGTGCGGCTCCAACGATGACGTGTACAGCTGCCCATAGAACCTCTCAATCTCACTCAAAATCTCAGGTGCCCCGGAAACGATGCTGCCGCATTCTGTCTTCAGCTTTGACAGTTGGCGCTTTCTGGCAGACAGATCTCTGGCAAAGACTTTGGAGCCTTGGTTCCGCTCGATCGCTTCTTCAATACGAGCTGTATTGAAGTTGCGTAAGTCCCGCCGCATGCATTTGGAGATCTGTCTGTTCAGTTGCCTGTATACTGTCAAATCTGTTGAAGAATGTAGCTTCATCTCCCGTCTAACAGCCATGAGATTAAGAGAGTGATCGGAGAGTTTTTGTGTTCTTCTGCGGCGGGTCTTGTTGAACTTAGCTCCGACCGCATGGACAGTTTCCACGAGCTTGTCATTCAAATCGTCCACTTCATTGCAGTCTTCTAGGCACTGAAAACGGTTTTGTAACTCGAGCTGAAAGGTTTCGGGACTTTGGATTAGAGCACGAGGGGGACGGAGCGTTGACTTCATTAGACGAGACCTCTCCAACTTAACGTTTAGGTTCAGTGTGCCTCTAACCATTCGGTGATCGCTGCCGGTTTTCACCCTCGCGATCACTGAGACATCACTGAACAGTTGTCGTCTGGTCGTCATAATGAAGTCAATCTCATTTTTTGTCGAACCGTCGGGGCTCGACCAGGTCCACTTCCTGTGGGGCCGCTTCTGGAAGAAAGAGTTCATCATAAAGAGTCCCTCTTTCTCCATGAAGTCAGCCAACTGCTGGCCCCTTGGGTTCCGTTGCCCTATTCCAAATTTCCCTACTTTCAGCTCACCGTTCTCTCTTGTGCCTAGTTTTGCATTGAAGTCTCCCATTAACACCGTATATTGGGTTTTGGAGGAATGCATGGCTCTAGAGATATCCTCATACATTTCCTCCACCTCCTGATCGGGGTGTGCCGAGGTTGGTGCGTAAAAATCCTATAATATGCCAGCGTAACTTGTCTATCTCTTCTTCCAGCTTTACAATCTTCTCGTCAGTCCTCAGGGTGCGTGCGTTGTATGTTGCCAGGTCGAGTCGTCGTAGGTGGCAACCGAACCTCCACCGGAGATTCTTAGCACCCCCTGCCCCGCCGTTACCATGGTCGCCACCGTAGCCAGGAATAGCGGGGCCGCCGGGGACTAGGGGCCGTTTATTATTGTCATTGCTCATGGGGGGTATATTGCCATAGTTGCCACGCTTGGCGAGCGGGTTGGCAACCGCAGTTTTTTATTGTTATTTTGGCTATTATCAGGAAGATGCTGCTGCCCATCTCCTGCCTGTTTCCCTTTGTCGCCTTTTACGACACCCACGGGAAGATATGGGGTAGTGGATATTCTTAACCGCCACTACACGGTCAATAGGTAGTATAGAATAATATATATATAAAAACAATAAAAAATTATAATATGCGAATTTAGCTACAAATAATTGGAATAAGATAATAATAAAAATAATATAATAAAAATAACAATAATAAAAATAAAAATATTCCTTACCGTAGGATGTAGTAAATAACATTACAAGTAATAACAAGCATTGAAAAATTATATAATAACTACGAAAACACAGTAAATGAGCAAGTTTATAAGGAATAAACTATAAAATAGTCAAATTACTTTTTGAAGATCTACAGAGTTTTTTATACATAAGGATCGACTAATATCGTTCTTCCTAACAAAAATCTTGCCATCACGTATCCATACAAATTTGTATTGAGCAACTTTTGCTTTTTCCCTTGTACTTTTATATAATATCTTGTTGGCTGGTGTAAGATGTTCATTTAAGTAAATCTTCTTCATTTCACCAGGAAAACCTATATCGCACAACTTAAGTCCTTTCTTGGTACGAACAACAGACAGAATGGTATCACGTAATAATTGAGAACTCAGCTTTACGACAATAGCTTTAGGACGTCCAGAAACCGCATTAAATGGGCGTATCCTAGTAATTTGGACAATGTCAGTTGAAGACAGCTCAACTCCCAGGAAATTAGTTATATATCTCAAATATAGGGACAGGTCTTCGTTTGACTTTTCAGGGATACCAGATATCTCAAGATTATTCCGTTTGGCCTGTTGTTCCATATACTGAATTTTATTTTCGAGATTTTGTATCTGAGTGATTAATTCAGTGTCTTGAGAACTACAAACTTGTAACCGGCTATCAAATAGGTCCTGTCTTTGAGAGGAACAGCTAAAAGACTTCTCCATTTCTGTGAGACGTGTATTTGTTTCAGATAGCGATTTCTTCATTATGTCGTTATCGTCTGTCAATTGTTGTAAACAACTATTTATTTGAAATAAGTTTGAGGTAATATTTGACAGCTGATTGGTTAATGTCGAGTTAATAGCTTCAGAAATACTGTTGAAAATTTTATTATTTCATAATTTCATCTGTTGCTCGAACCTACGCTCGAAACACGCGAACGTATCTTTTCCAATTTCGCATTCCGGTTGCTTACGTTTGCGTATATTTACCAAAGATTCTTTGTCTACCGACACCGATATGTCAGGATTCGATGAAAATATGTTAGGTGGTGTGCGCTGGAGTGCCATTGTATATAACAAACGCACACACGATCAATATTAGTATCACAGACTGCAGAAGACAAGGACGAACAATAGCAACTGTTATTATCTCACGGGGGTGAGGCACCCCGCAGATACAACCAGGAGCAGCGACGCGAGAGAAGGTAAGAAACACTGGTTTGAGGAGTATTAAAAACTTTGATGCACTTGATCGCACGCAAAAAACAGCTGAGTTACACTAACAATTAGGCCAAGTTTACTATAAAGATAATGTATAATAGCACGAGGCAAAAGTTGTACACAACCACTCTCTTTACTAGCCGAATGATGAATGACACAATTTATAGTTGTAGCATGTTGACACTTCACCAATAATGGATTCGGAAAAGCATGTATTCACTGGAAGTCTATTAAATGAAACACTTTTATGCACATATAAGATGACTCCTCCACCTCTTTTGTTTTTGCGAAGTTGTATATACATCTCATAATCTTCTAGTTGAAAAAGAGATGAGCACTCCGCTCTTATGTTAGCTTCTGTAACTACAATGATGTGTATTATTCTTAAGCTGTTGCTCATTATGTATTCAAGTTGATCAAAGTTTTTTAGCATGGATCTTATATTTAAATGAAGCGTACGTAAATAATTACATTCTATGGGAGTCTTTTCTATAAATGCATTCCAGCTGTTATATGTATATTCATTTATATGTGGAGTGAAATCATCCATGAAACACTACAATAATAACTTGACATTTGACAGTTACATATAATTTCATTTTGTGTTAAATGATTTCACCAATCTTTCTACATCATTGCTAGATCGAATGTGGTGTATTTTATCTGTTTCATGTTTTCTTGCCAATATCACACCATTCTTACACCACACGAACTTGCAGGGATTATTTCTTTTTAGTTCTGTTTTTGATTTCCACAGCAAATAAGCAGTTGCAGGTGTCAGAGATTCCCTGAAGTAAATCTTGCTTCCTTGCGAAAGTCCTATGTCTCGGCAGCTGATATCTATATTTTTTGAAGATTCCAACCACATCTCTTTGCACCTATCTCTCAACGATAAAATCACTACAGACTGCGAGTTATTGCTGTTGTTCGAGCGTGCTGTTTTTTTTCTGAATGCTTTAATTATATCTTGTAGGTTTTGGTTTATTTTTATAGCAATTCTTTTTGTTAAATCTAATAGATTCTCCGCTGCCTCTTCAGCAATACCACATATCTCGATGTTATTAATAATGAGGTTCTGTTGTAACGAGTTAATTTTTTGTTCAATGGCGTCATTTTTTAGTGACACGTTTTTTAAGTTGTTTTTTATGTCTTTTATTTGGTTGTCAGTTAATTTCAAGTTTATTTCGTATTCTTTAATTTTCTCTTGATATTCATCCATTTTTTCGGAGAAAAATTGTAAGGTAGTTTGAAGTTCTTGTTGCATAATTTCTCGTAATTCTCTCCTTATGTCGCTGATTATTTTTCTCGTTAGGGTGTTGTATTGCAGTTCTGAGCTGGAACCTGTGTCTTCTTCCGCGTCAGGAATAATACATGAAATTCTTTTCGGTTTCGCTGTACCCGTGCACGTACGGCATTTCCAATCAACAGAGTCGGTACTATTTAATACGTTAAGTTGCTCTTCTGAGATTGCAGTACATTGCCCATGTGTCCACTTGCTGCATTTGCCACACTGGATCCCTGGGGACTTTTTGGTAACAATTTTGTTGCATTGAGAACACTTACCCATTGTATTTGTAAATCGATTGATCAACGTTACGTAATACCCGTGACGCGGCGCGCGTACGACTGATTATTTGGGCTTCGCAGATATGATCATATCTCTGAATTAATACTAATACTAACACTCATCATTATTTAAAAGGCCGTTTCCAGTATCTTTCCCTTACCCATAATCGGTTCCTTCGATCCTCTGTCAATCTTTCTCTCTCTACTCCTTCGTACTCTTCCTCCTTTTTTAAGAAATCCTTCACCGTAACTGCTGTACGTTTGTGGAACTCTTTACCTCTCCACATTCGTCGTGCTCAATCTCTTCATTCTTTCAAAAGTCTTGTTAAATCATATTACTTAGAACGCTATTAGATAAATTATTTTCCTTTTTCGTACTCTTTTCAATAAATCTATTATATGATATCATACATAATCTTCAATTATCTTTATTTATATGTATTTTCATATTTTTATTTTTATTTTGTACGCCCCCCTCTATTTTTAACTATTGTTTGTATCAGTTCTCTATACTAAGGTTGTCTGGAAGAGATGACTTTCTGAGTGATAAAACCGCCTGTTGTACATATTCTACTTTAGATTTAACTTTACTCGTTTTTGTTTTGTTTTTGGTGTACAATAAAGAGTAAATAATAATAATAAATAATAATACATCGCCCAGTGATATTACTCACAGGTAAGCAACTCCTTCTATTCATTGAGAACGTAGGGCTTAGCAGTGAACTGTAGACATAGCAGTCACCGTAGTAGATCTTTTAGGTCGCAGAGATACTGTTCTCTCTACACCTGCATAGCTGCTCGTAAAAAATGGGAAAATCATCCAGACTACTCCAAGTGGATACAAATAAAATATGATTATACCGCAAATTGTCAAACTGATATTTACATCAACTTTGAGGGGAGTCGTGGTTTAAACAAATAAGCAGACAAAAAACACGGTAAACTGGTATATTTCTTGGTAAAGAAAGCGATGAGGGAAATGAGATCTCAAAAGCTGCATTAATGCTTATATTTTACAACGTAACTCATGGTATAAGTTATAACAGTCTCGACTGCCAGATGAAATTAGCTTCTACTGTGTATTCTGATAGCAAAATTGCTGCTAAAGTATCTTGTGGACGCACAAAAGCTGCCGCAATAGCACGAAATGTGCTCGCCCCATATGCACAGGCACAAGTCGTTACTGAACTTAAGGACGCTGAGTATTTTGCGGTAGGAAGCGATGCTTCTAATGTTGGAAACATCAAAACCTATCCGTAAGCTGTGCAATTTTTTAATAGAGAGACAGGCATATCTAAAAAGCCGCTAGATTTTTATGAGGATCCATTGAAATCGTCAAAAGATATATATATATATATATATAAAATTCAAAAGAGTGACAGAAGATAACGATTTAAAATTGACTCCGTTGACTGCATACAGCGCGGATACCGCTTCGGTAAATTATGGCGTAAATAATCCGGTGTTCCAAAAATTAAAAGAGACAAACGATCGTCTGATTAAAGCAAACTGTAACTTCCATGTTATTAACAATTGCATCAAATACGCCCTTAAAGCTTTGTCAGTAGATATCGAGAGTATCTTGATAAAAACATCCAATGAGTTCAGTTCATATTCTACAAAGACTGAGAAACTAAAAGAATGTTTCCAATTTGCAAGTGTCGAGCACAAAAACCTTCTTCGTTATGTCCCAACAAGATGGCTGTCTCATTTGCCTGCTTTACATCGTTTACTGTATAGCAAGCCAGCTATAAAGCAGTATTTTTTTATTAAAAGGGGAAGACGAATGTCGAAAGGAGATAGTGAAGGAGTTGACGAATGCAAACAGAAAGGAATTTATAGTTTGTACACAACGTAACGTTGGAGTTCCAATCAACAATTTTACCATTGGAAAGCTGTCTTAGAAATTGACAGTGTAATCAAAAAACTGATGATTCATCTTAAAAACAGGTTGGACGACAAATTCTTTGGTAATAGAAACAGAAACTTATTAAAGAATGTTTCTGATAGCGAGAAAAAACTTTTTGCGTCGCAGCTGAACAGTTTTTAAAACGAGCTATTCAATATTTGCAAGTTCGCTATGATTTTTCTGAAAACTCTTTATACAAAAAACTCGCTATATTATCTCTAAAAGGTGCAAATTTATTTACGTGGGAAGAGCTATCCGCGTTGCTCGACATTCTCAATATTTCAAACGATATTGAACAAGATGCATTATATACTGATTACTGTTGTCTTCGAGAAATTATTGAACATCTTCTGAAAAACAAGGACATGTCAAATGACAAAATTTTGGCATATTTTTTTTAAATGCAACCAAAATGAAATCGAAAATTAAAAAAAAATTATATCATTTGTGTTGTCAATTCCTCCTGTAAGCAATGCCTACTGTAAAAGGGTGTTTAGTTTACTAAATAATTTATATACCAAAGAGAGAAATCGTATGGCTATTGATTTAATAAAAGCTGAGTTACTAATTAGACTGAACTTTAACGAAAATTGTTTAAATTTTAAATCTTTTCTGAATACCACTAAAGGATCCAGTAAAGTCCCAATGCCAAATATCTGTGGCAACCTCAAAATTAAGAGTAGTTACATTAATTATCTGCCTACAATGTTAAGTATATTTGTAAACCATTAATTTAAAAAATAATATTTTTATTTTACATTTTTATTTTTAACATTTATTTCTCCCGAAATCAACCCCAAAATCTCGGCATTTACAAATTTGTCCAGATATTTTGGTCTTCCGATCTGGCACCCCTACCTACGGGGCAGGAAGCCGATAGAATAAACAAATTCATTGTTTTATTGCCGCTAGTAAAGTAGGGTGCATATGATTTGAATTTCGATAGTTCTTAATTGATTTACTCATTTGTTTCAAAATTTTTGTTTTAATTTTTTAGTATGGACGGTTTACTTCTGATTAATTGATAGATCAATTTCATAATTAGATTTTTTTTAATTGTAAAATATTAGAGCCATAGGCATCTACTCCATTTACCTGTTCTTTTTATAAGATAAGGGTGACAAAGGAGCACACAGTCCACGTGATGGTAAGTGGTTGATGCGGCCCATAGACATCTACATCTATTCTCAATTATAAATCAAAATGCAGATGCGTCGTCACCCGTGAGGACTAAGATGGAATGTCTCGCTTCCAGTAAAAAGGGTCTCCGGTTTTCTACTCACCATACGAAACACAGTAGCGTAAGCTGCAATTTTACGCTGGTATTCTGTGAAAGCGTGGTCCTTCCCCGGTCGAGTCGACCCATTCGTGCTACAACTATACAACTAATATAGCTAAAGCATAGCTCTACCACGTGAAAATTCATCCAGTTACACACGACGAACCAGACTTCAGTTGCTATAGACTACGCACAAAGACCCTATACACTGCATGACATCCGTAGCTACGGTCATATCTTGGCGATGTGAAAAGAGTATTGCGAATGGAGATATTTTAGTGAATATGTTTTGGTAGTGAAAACACTTGGTGTTGTGTTTTACGCATTTTAATAGTGATTGACAATTTATCAAATAGTGCCTTAACATATCCTGCCCCTGTTTATGTTTTTTTTTATGTGAGAGGGGGCAAACGAGCATGCGGCTTACCTGATGGTAAGTGACTACCGCTGCCCATGAACAACTGCAACACCAGGGAAGCAGGGGAATTGCAGATGAGTTGTCGGCCTTTTAAAAAAGAGTAGGCTTTTTTCTTGAAGGTCCCTAAGTCGTATCGGTCCGTAAAATCGCTGATGGTAATCGATTCCACAAGGAAGTTGTGTGAGGAAGAAATCTAAATCTAAGTCTATCTAAATACCACAGTGGTGGACCGCCAATCATCCAGATGTGTGGATGGTATCGGGAGCTCTGCCGCGATGTGCGTTCGTGAAATTTAGCGGCTGAGATTAATCCGAACAATTCCTCAGAGCACTCCCCGTAGTAAATGCGAAAGAAAATGCAAAGGGATGCAACATCCCTTCGCAGTGCCAATGAATCGAGGTGTTCGGAAAGGACTCGGTCGTCGACGACGTCGGTCGTCGAGCGAGCCGCTCTGCGCTGGATGCGGTCAAGTGGAAGGAGCTGGCACTGGGGAGCCTCTGCCCAGAGATGGGAACAGTATTCCATGTGAGGCCGTACCTGCGCCTATTCCTATTCCTGTCAGGGACGACCTAGGTTAAGGTGTAAAACTTTAATATCACTTGTAATCAACATAACTAATTCTAACTTACATCATTTTATGGTCTTAGTAACTCTCAAAATTTACAACCATATTTTAATTAATTGATTTAAGCTCATTCAACTTAAAGTGATGATTTAATTTTTATGAAAGCTACTTAATGATAACTTGCCTTTTGCATAAAGTTCTCTTTAATATAGAGCATAACTTAACTTAGACTGCATATAAATTATAACCATCAATTAAGTTCAAACTATAAACATTATATATGTTTCCTTTACGATATAAATGACTTAACAAGTTTTTTATTACAATTTTATTATTAATTTTTATTTATTTATTTATCCTTTGTTCCAACACACCAACTAGGGGTTACAAAGGGCGGACTTAATGCCCTATGGCATTCTTTACCAGTCAACCCGACGAAAAATGGAATAAATAAAGATGTTGACAGGTGCAAGTTAAGGACAATAATAAAAACATAAGTTATAAATAAAACAGTTCAGCTATAATAAATAGATTACACAATACAAAATAATAATAATAAATATATATATACACACACACATATATATATATATATATAAAAATATATATAAATTATAAATACACATAATATATTAATATATATATATACAGTATAATCTCACTAATCCGGCACTATTAAAAACCGGAGGGTGCCGGATTATTGGAATGTTCGGATTATTGGATTATAGTGAAAAAGTCATAGGTAAAGAATAAAATAAAGTACATATTTCATAGAGGGAGTCAATGTATGTAATGTATTCGATTAACATGTAGGTACATATGTGATTAAC